AATACAACCCATAGTGTACAACTGATTGTTTATTCATGAAGAGTTTATATAGCAATGAGATTATGGGGCCGCTGTATTTTACCACTCTTTGTAGGACCTAACAAGAAAATAAAAGCCAATGTATCTGCTGAGGAAGACACCTCTTAGAAAGGAATAAAAGTGCGACTGGTAAAAGGATATTTCATTCAATCAGGAGGGAACCCGTGCGTCATGTCCATATACATTGTGTTTTCTAAAATATTATGTTAAAAATCACCAGACTGTCTTATAGCCACAAGCAGTGATTCTTATTTTAGCATCTCTTCGAAATGTCAAAGTGAATGAATTGATACACTTCAAGGTCTACAATATATATGTCATGGAATCTAGGACTGACTGTGTTTCAAGACTATGTGGTGATTATTGAGATGGACATGGTTATTCCTACACTATTATGAATGGCATGGTGTCCTGAAATAGAGGATGCAGTAAGGAATTATGAGGGCATCGTGGAGAACAAGACTTGGTTGTCATTATATTCAAAATTTTAGTCTTTTATAGAATTCTAATCTTCATTTCATACTTTTCCACTGCCCATTATTCAGATAAGTTCAGTTAAAGAAAGTGGTCTTGTCAAAATTACTTGAAAAACTGTACCAGAGAGTCCTTTATTTTTGCTTCAGCAGATACGGTAATTGAGGTACAGTTTAAAGAGATATTAAAATTTGTCACTTAAAAAAATTGTGCAGTCTTTGTGACTAAATTTTTCTCTGAAATGCACATGAAACCAGCAAGTGATGATGCACCTTTATAGTCTGTCAGAACTGATTGTGCTAAGTTTCAATACCTCTACAATAGCAAGTAACAGTCCAGAAGCCAAGCAAAGGCAATAAAATTATCTGGTTCCCAAACTGAATCCCCAAATTGAAGGTAGTTATCATAACTGTGCTTAATAGGTGATTGTAATTCAAAAGACAAGGTTGCTATTATAAAGATACAAAAAAATATTCTCTGAGTCACTAGACAATTCTTGACCAGTCTCAGTGAACTAAGATTACTATGAGTTTATAGGCTATTTTCTATTGATTAAATTTGTCTTGGCTGGACCGTTAAAATGCAAATCCCTGTGGTTGAACCCATACTTATTCTTTTAATATGTTTAAACCCATCTCATTACTTTATAGTCTTTGCCTTGTCAGCATCAATGAATATGAATAGATTAAATGTAAGTTTATGCTGTATACATGGAAAGGCTTGCTTTACTAGTTCAGCATCAACTAGATGAGAAATACAGATGGTATGTGCTGACAAATTTTGAGAGGTTTTGCTCTTACCTCTGTTGCAAAGTACATGAAATCTGTCTTGGAGTAAGAGACATGACCTCAAAGATTGTTAATGACTGATTGGCTTAAGGACTGTGGCACATTTTCAATCTAAGAGCTGCATTTTTAGAGTGCTCTAGTTGTTGTTAGGGACATCTATGAATATCAGTATTGCCAATTTCCTACTTTTAATATGAGGGTATTCTCTACTTTTAATATTGGCAATTCCCATATTCCCTGGAGTCCATTTCATGGAATGTACTTTATAGATGAGAAGAAAATTTAACTGCCAATGTAACATTCAGTTCTCTGAAGTGACTAGCAGGTTGAGGTATATCATGCTAAGAATAGACAAGTATATTTTTAAAAAATGGGATGTATAGTATGGAAGATAGATTTATCTTTCTCTTCAAATCACAACAACTTCAGTTACACAGAGTGCTAAAGTAGCCAACAATTTTTTTCTGCTAAACATGTTGGCCTACTTTTTCACATTTTCTTTCTAAAATTTCCATGGTCTTCCATAAGATCCTGGGAATTCATAAACCTAAAGTATTCATATTTTAGGGATAAATAGTTTTTAAAGCATTTATAGTTCAAAATTAAGGTCAATGTTATTAGACTATATCCATAGAATAAGAATTAATTATAGAATAAAATAAGTAGTCATACAGTCTTTTAAACACAGAAGCTGGGAGTTGGCTGGGCTCTGCAGGTTGAGTAATTGCCATTGAGTAACATGTGGAAAGGTTAGAGAAATTTTAAAGATCCTTGGCCTTCTTGCTTCTACAGTTTCTTTCTGGAATCTATTTTAAGTAGTAAAGAAAGTTCTAGATCCGCAAAAGATGAACTTCAATTCTAATGTTTGAGGAAGAAAGAAGTATGGCATATATATGCTAAGATACGAGGTTTCCTAAAAATTCATATACTATGGAACCATAAATTTCAATGATTGGGATACATAATAATAAGAAAAATTGCAATAAACTGCATGTACAAAAGTTACAAACTTTCTAACGTGGCTACTTTAAAACACTTCAGAAAATCTGTATTAGAATTCCAACTTGCATGTGGGTAATTAGTGTATAGGAACACATTTGAATTTTCTCACCATTAATAGTTTTTTGTTGGTTTGGATTTGAAATATTAAGATTTGACACAGGGCTTACTGAGACAACTACTACCTTGAAATGCTAATTGCAATGTAGTTTTCCAGTTTTAAACAATCTGTAAGAGTTCATTCCAGGGGACACATTTCTTTAAACAATTTGGAATCCGTCATACAAATATTGTCATTGTTGCCATATGAGTCACAACCATCAGAGTATTGTCTTAGTATTGTAAGACAATGATAAATATGTATACCCAAGCAAAGTATAATACTTTTAAGATAAGAGATTTCTACCATACCAATGCTCCTGCTGACAAGTTGTCCTGTGGCTAATATTTTTACGGTCCAAGTTTGAGGGATAAAAGAGACATTTTTTAATATTCTCAAATATGAAAACAAGCGATGTCTGTGAATTTCTTTGGGGGAAGAAGTTCATTACATTTCTGTTTGCTTCTGGCAGAATTCACTTAATTGAAACAATGATGGAGAACTTTTGAAATAAGATGTGTAAAGTACAGAAAAATGTATTCAAATATTTCAGAGACATATTGAGACAATGTAGTTTATCATAACTTCCAACCACCCAGCTTATCCCCAGGGAACACAAGCAGCATATCTAGCTCTAATCTATCTTTAGTACAAGAATATACTCCCATGGTTTTGATTCATACACACCAAATGAAGTCAGACTGTGTTCAATGTCCCGGCCCACTTACTCTGTAAATAAAGAGTAACACTTTCTTCCATTTGTGGCATTTGCAGTTAATGACAAACATGATTTTTTTTTTCCCTCATAGTGTTTTAACTTATTTATAAAGGAGGGCAGTTTGGTTCTCCACTAGCAAAAATTGCTGAATAAACATTATTTTTTCAGAAGTTATTTTTACAGACTACTGTTGGGTAGACCAAAGTTCAATAACATTGAGAAACTTTAACATTAAATGGCAGTTCTTGCTTTTAGTTTGAGAGTGGTTAAAGTTCAGAAAATAATACCATTTGATTCAAAGACTGGCTTATTTTTTCCTCTTAAATCTGAGTAACTTGTTTTCTTAATGTTTAAACCTTTCTCTGTCAATCATTTGGCATGTTGAGTTTCCATTTAGCAAATCTGACCAATCACTAAACGTATCTAAAAAGCATTCTAGAACTTTTTAAAAATAAAACAATACTGGTAAAAAATAATGCAAAAAATTGCCAAACTGAAAAAGAATCAGAGTCTGGTGCAATTTCACCGAGAACTCTATCATATATTTGTACTTAATTATGCTGCATGAAATGAGTTAATGCCCCATTGCAGTTAAAATAATTCCATGGGGTTATTGACAAATTTTAAGTAAAAATTTTATTTAAAATTATTCACATCTACTGCATGGCATATATATTGAAATCATTAATTCAGAAATATAAAAACAACCAATCCTCATTTTATAGAAATGACTTATTTATATAATTTAGAATTAAAATCTTCCCTCCTTACATTGGGAGCTAAGAGTTTGAACCCATATAACTTTGATGGGAAACTGTTCTTATTAAAAAAATCTTTCATAAATCCATTTTTGTTTTAATTAAATTCATTTTTATCAAAATGTAAATACTATAATCCCATTGAATTTTAAAGTCTCATTCTAAGCTAAAATATAAAAATCTTACTGAACTTTGTTCAATTATATCAAAACATTAAACATAATTATGTATACACAATTAAGCAGCTATTAAAAATCTAACAAAACAAGGGTGCTGGCTTGCATTTTGTGGTATTTGGCAATAATTCAAAATACACAGCTATAACACTTATTTAAAAACAATGCTGTTGTTTTCAGTATTTCCATCTTCATTTATAGAGCTATAAAGTTAAGAAAAGTAGATTTTATATATAGTATGATCTCTTAAGCCATTTGTTTTAAATTTCCAAAGAGGGAAATTATCTGTTCTAAACAATTAAATTTAGTATGTAAATACTAAAATTTTTAATTTTAATTTTATAATTTGAATTTTTTGGTAGTACATAAGTTTTAATTTTATAATATGAATTTTCCCTGGTATTACATAACTTGATCCCATAGTATTTGTATGTACAATCTTCAATTACTGAGTTTACTACTGAATTAACTGATTACTTTTCTGTTCTGTAGCTACAGTACAAGAAAATATTTTAAAACCTCAAGCTACTGATATTTAAAATCTTCAACATTTCCACTTTTTCCATTTATAAAGTTAATTGTGCAAATTTTACTTTTGTAAGATTCAACGTCATTGAACTGAAAACCAAGAATTTCCAAAGTAGTTTTCACATGTACTATTACGTGATTTCATATAACAATACAAACACATTGACAATAATACTTCCACTTACATGATATACTGCGAAAGGACAGAAAATCTTAAATTAATATGAAATAGAATCCTCATAATATATATTTTTGTATTCATTAAAAGACTCTTAATCTGCCTTGTGACTTTGCATAGCATATCATAACAATACCTTCCCATATGCCATTTTAATATGATGGTCACACACCTATACACATACCTATGGCAAGGAAACTTTCTTTTGAATTGATCATTTGCACTTGCATGCCCCCAGAGGCTTAATCTTGTTGCTGATGAATATCCTCATGCCTAAGAATTTTATAGATAACCCAGTAGAAAATATTAAAAATCAAAAAGGCTAATGGGAAACAGGCTCGAGAGATGGTATCAATCTTCTTGGCTCTGTCGATAAAAACCTTCCTCATTTCATCAGGACTTTTCGGCATTACCTGGGCAGGATGGTTTGGGCCCTTTGGGGTCACACCATCTTTTGCTTGCAGACATGGTCCCATTCCATAGGCTGTGAAGCTGAATCGACTTTCCCTTACCTCATCATCCTGTCATAAGAAAAACATGAGAAAACACTTTAGTCATGGAATAGAGCATGTATTTCAGAATCATAACTAAAACTTTATCATGAATAAATGTTACCATTATTGTAATGGAAAGATAACTGAAGCATATAAAGATTGAGGTGCTTTTTTTCCCATTCAAGTTTTGATTTATCCTGCTGCATCATATAAATATGTCCATTCAGAAATATGAAACTCTCAACTAATGTGTTTTATTGGGACAACTACACATTCTGATATTGTCTACATATTGCCAGAATATCTAAATAAATTGAGCAAGAAAAAGAACCTATTGGGATATTATGTGTTATATATTCATATACTAGGTTTGTTTTACATTACGTGTTTAAATAGATAAATATACGATGTCAAAGGGGGATATATCAAGATCATTGACTGGATTTTTTCTTTTTCTTTGTTCTAATTTATATGCAATTACTTTTCAGGTACATTGACTGAGTTGAAATTACGAATGAAATTTGGCAGAAGTTTATTTAATGTTAAAGAAAATTGTTTAACTATGTTCCGAAACCTATTATTTAACTTATGTTACTTTTCTCATGAATGTTGCAAATTAAAGAATTCTCCATATACGTAAATACGTACACGAAAAGAAAACCAAAATTTAAAAGAAAAATGAAATATGATAAATGAAATGTGTTTGTGATAGGAAAATATGGCATTTAAGAGTTTATAATGAAATTCATTAACGAGTAATTTAATTAAATGCACTTATTTAGAATGTAACAATAGATGATTGCCAATTAATTAGTTTTTTTGCTACTAAAACTGAAAGTTTAAAAGATGACATTTTATAAAGTTGCTACAGCTCTTCCTTTATGAAAGTAATTTTTAATAGTAATATAGGAGACAAAAAGTAATTGGCTCAAACTCTTGAAAAATTATTTTGAGTCTGTGAAAGTAGAGGCTCAATGAACAGTATATTACAAAATATGAAAGTGAAAAATGGAAATTAAAATGGATTCTAAACATGAGAAGATGACCAAAGTTTATGTAATAATGTATAAAATAGTTCTTTGGGAATTATGGAGTAAGGCAATTCCACATGACCAAAACAAATAATTATTGGAAAATAGCTTAACCTTAGGATGTATGAGCAATTGAATTTTGAGGAAACCAGTCTGAAATAAAAGCTAATGATCCTAATTACACATAACTACTGTTGTAATCTTATAAAAATTGGAAATTGATTTTTCCCTACTCTTTAATAAAGATATTCATTTATACTGGCAATTTTTTTAACTTCCATGGAAATTTTAAAGCTCAATTATTGTTTGCCTCGAATTTTCTATGTCTTGGAAAAAAGTGGATATACAAGAAATTAAACCATTTGTATGTAAGTGTTAAAGTAACACGCTTATAGTTTAGGAAATCATGCTGGTGTTTGCATTCCAGAAAAAAAGGTATAGTTTGTTTGGATAATTTGTCTAATTTTGAGTGCAAGTCAGCTGAGTGCTGAAGTATAAAACAGCCTTTTAACCTATATTGACCCATGTGTCGAAAAAAAAATCCATCTCAAAATAGGACAAAAAGTAATTTCTCAATGAACATTTATGATGAGGTGTTGACATATTAGTTGAACCATTAAGAAATAAATTACAAAAATACTAGAATTTTAGAATTCTAGCAACTGTGTTTTGTAAAGTAGGATTCACTTACTTTTGTCGCCCCCTGCCCGCACACCGGTTTTACTAAGAAGCAACTGACCTATGTCAAGGTATAAGTTTAAGGTGTACAGATGATGGTTTGATTTACATACATGGTGAAATGATTATCCCAACAGGTTTAGTTAATACCCATCATCTCCTATAGATAACAATAAAAGGAAAAGGAAAAAATCTCTTCTTGTGATGAGAACTCTTAGGATCTACTCCCTTAACAACTTTTCCGTAGATCATGCAGCAGCATTAGCTCTGGTGGTCATGTTGTATGTATGTTACAGTCCTAGTACTTAATTTATCTTTTTTTTTAAGATTTTATTTATTTATTTGCCAGAGAGAGAGAGAGAGAGGGAGAGTACAAGCAGGGGGAGTGGCAGGCAGAGGGAGAAGCAGGCTCCTTGCTTAGAGCCCAATGTGGGACTTGATCCCAGGACCCCAGGATCATGACCTGAGCCGAAAGCAGACGCTTAACCGACTGAGCCACCCAGGAGCCCCTTAGTTTATCTTTTGACTGGAAGTTTGTATCTCTAACCTTCTACCCCCACTGACTACCTTTCTAACCATCTATTCTGAAGAATTTATTAGTTTGAAACCTTAGAGACCCCCAGTTGCTCATCTCAAAAAATCTTTTTAAGATTTAAGATATTCAGTGATCAGCGACATTATTTTCAACTGTATCTTTCCACATAAGTGCGAGTAGAGGGTTAACATCAGGCCTGGGCTGAGGAATGACTGCTGATTCTTTCCACAGCATTTCCTTGAAAACAATAGAGTTAAACTAAGTGGGGAACACGGAGATGGCCACATTTACTGCACAGGGGTTGCTGTGTGGGGCCTACGTGACCAGAATGTATACAAGCTTGGTAAGAAATCAAGGCTGTGGCTTCTCTGTGTCGATGTGATATAATATAGGCCTTGACGTTTGTCTGAGGCAGTGCCTCTCCATGGGCCTGTTGATGAGAACAAAAACAGCTGTTGTCTCAAGCAATTCTCTGCCTCCAGATAAGATGAAGATGCTGCGTCTGATGGGTTGGCTGCCTCACATGCTCCCGTAGGACTGAGAAAACTTTATAATAGGTTATAAAGCCTGTTGTGTCTGGAGGGTTTGATTGGCAATCTTCGCCTCAAATTTCAGTGGTGATGACGGAAGTTGACTGGGCTTTCAGATCATTTCAGGCTTAATATGGCCCAGAGTTCTAGGAGGGAGTTTGGTGAGGATGTGATCCTGATCCACCCTGGGGTTGAGGTTGCCCAAGCTCTGCAGAAAATAACCGGGATAACGCTTACTATTAGAATGTGGCTGACACAGAATTCTCCCTTGTTGAATTGGTAGATGGGTGATTAATGAAATAAAACTGAAGGAGACCAGGGTGAGGGAACTGAGGGGAAAGTGGCTCAAAATACAAGGAATTTCTTCTCTCCTATTTCACTGATTATCTATGAAACTGAAACCACTTGGCAGAAAGAGAAATTAGAGTAAGTAGAGCAAGCAGCTTCATGGCCTTGGCTCAATATGAACATGAACGTCCACTTGGGACTTGGAAGGACACTGCATTTAATCCTGATGATACTTCTTGGCAACCCCAGGCAAGCAACACAGGAAACTCGTGAGTATCCTGTAGGCCTATCCAATAGAAATCTAATGCGAGCCACAGATGAAAACCATGTGTATGTATAATTTTCAATTTAAATTTTACATTAGTTACATTTTAACAAGTTAAAAGAAAGAGGTGAAATTAATTTTAGTATTATATTTTCCTTAACTTAGTATGTCCTAAATGTGATTTAAACATTTCCTCAAAGTAAAAATTAAGGAGCTAGTTTACATTCTTTGTTTCCTACTAAGTCCTTGAAATCAGTGTATATTTGCAATATACCTCAGATCAGACTCTACATTTCCAGTGCTCCATAGCCATTTGTGGCTTATATCTACCATTTTGGAAAAAGCAATTCTAACATAAGGAAGCTGGGTCTCTTTACTGTGAAGTACCAGCCAGTATCTGGGGAATCAGTGTTTCTAGGATCTTTAGGTTAATTGCCACAGGACTGAAAAAAAAAAAAAACCATGAAAAGCAATGTCGACTGTGAATGCTAACTTCTAACTTGTTGCACTTACTGGCAGGCATGGAATCAGGGACCCTTTCGGGGAAAGCCTGGGGTGGTATGAGGCTGTGCTGAGAACCAGCTCCCTAGTTCTCTCACTGCTGTGAAATTGAACAGTCTTTTGGAAGTAGTCAACCTGTGCTGGCCATACGATGAATAAAAATAAGCCTAGCTAAACCACATTCTCTGATCTCAACTCTGGTAGACACTCTGATTAGGGGAGTCCCCCAGGCATGGGTTTCCCACGTGGCTCTCCTTTTGGAAAGGCAGGAGGGTATGTATGAGTCATGGGGATGCTTGCTTTTATAGCTGCCATGCTGGGTTTCACTGATGGGAAAAACTATCTGGCCTATTCAGAAGAAAGAGCATGGCCAGAGGTAAATCCATTAAGTGACTTCTAAGACACGGAATGAAAATTGACAGGAGTCCTATGACAGATTTCCTGGCACGTTCTTGCCAGCTGGGAGGAAGGAAATCCGTTGCAGTTCCGGCAGCTGCTTCCCTGAAGGAGCCCTGTTAAATCTGCTGCTTTCGTCTCAGAAGTTAAATCAATGATGCCGATGGGGGGGGTGGAAACAAAAAGCACTGATAGAAGTTGCTGAGGTTACTCCATCTGTTAAGGCCGTTGAAACAAAGCCTGGCTTTGAAGGCCAGGCTCTCCTTGCCCAGTGCCATGTGGGCTCTCCAGTGGGTGCTATCACCTTGGGCTAAATGCATAATTGGAAAGGATGGGACACGTGAATGAAGGACCTTGCCATTTCTGGCTTGAACTTAATCTTGGGCTTTCCAGTTGGAATTGGATGGATGTCCTAACACAGGAAGCCCTAAGAACCACCTCAACCTTCCCCTGTGGGAACTATTAAGCAGCACAAGATTCCAGGAAGGTAAATGAAACTCTTAGTTCTTAGTTCTGATTAAGGAAATATTAAGGAAATAATAGAAGCAGGGATGCTAGTCCTTCCTTAGTTTTCTTTAGAATAGCTCTATCTGGCTTATGATAAAGCCTAACGGGGCCTGCAGTCTGACTGCTGACCACTTGGGGTCACTAAAGAAGTCGCCCAACAGCCTCTACCATGATAAACGGGAAAAACAGAAGCGTTTCAGGACAAAGGAGGCTGGTATGCCTTTTTTTTTTTTTTAAGATTTTTATTTGTAAGTAATCTCTACACCCAATGTGGGGCTCCAACTTACAACCCCGCA